TCGGATGGAGGAATCATGCGAACGCGGGAGGTACATTATGTACTTATTTTAAGCTTGAAGCCTAATGTGTAAACCTATTGTAGCATAACGTTCATTAGTTCAGCTCATATTGGTTGATAGCAAATAGTCTGAGTTGTTCATTTGGTTTTTGATGGCCGGCGGACCGGCAACTTTAATCCATGGTCACATAAAGGACGTTGTTTCAGCTGTTCTGCCGCATGGTACATTCATTAAGTGGTCTATGATTTACTATGTTCACATTATTGTGCAGACATCTCTTCCTGTAGAGGAAATCACGAAGGAATTGACAAAGAAGGGTTATGATGTGATGACATCTGATGATGCTGGCAGGTTCGTATGCAATTACGTGTACTATCACTCTCTTCGTTTTGCAGAGCAAAGCGGGATAAAATCCCTGTTTGTGCATGTGCCTCTGTTCTTGACAATAGATGAGGACACCCAAATGCAGTTCGTTGCTTCCTTGTTAGAGGCACTTGCTTCTGTAAGTTAGTCTCGTCGCTGGAAGGCTTATGAATGTTCAGGAATGTAACTTGACTGAAATGCCACAATAATGTAAAAAAGGAATTGTTGTATTTGAATGGAAATGTTAATGAAATGTGCATATGTGGCACTCAGGCATTTGCCTTGGCGTCAGCAAACTGTCCAAGACAAAGTTGACATCTTCCTGTGTGACAATGTGTTGATGCTCATTTTCTATAAACCTGCTCCGATTCAGATTTCTGAATGTGACATGCTTGATACTTCTGAATGAATTGATTCCGCGTGAAGTGAAGAGTGAAACAGAAAATTAAGAGAATTGATTAGATGCTGAAGCTATTTTAAAGGCCTCATCGATGCATTCCTAGCTCAGTTTTATCCGTCATTTTACTATCTGCTGCTTACTCTCCTGTTTCGAAATGATTCCTTGAAAACTTTTTTCTAAAATAGGTCGAGAACATGAACTTGATGACTGGTAACACTTTTGCAGATGTGCAAAATGGAGAATATAAACATTACCGTAAGGAGCTTGTTTTCATCAAGTAACACATGACTTCAGATTAACAACTTAATCTTGAAATTAACAATTCTGGGTCATACGATGAGGCTTCAATACATTATTATATGGAGTTATTTTTTTAATTGATGTTTTTTTTTAATCTAATTTCTTCACTTACGGATGTATGATTTTCATCTAATCAAGGTCCATGTCCATTCTTGATGTGGGCAGTTCTTGTAGGCTCATCAATGTCGATCCGTGAGTCCATTACGGGCCTAATTAAACTAATCAAATAATATATCAGTGAGCAGCTTTTCATGGGGATGTTACTGTGCATTTTTGGCATAAATGCAGATATTGACATTGATCCCTGCGAAAAAAGACGCGATTTGCCCCTGGGGCTGGTCAGGCTAAAATTCTAGAAGTTCCTCGCACTCGCCACCTTTCCAGCATCGCCTAAGACTCTTACAAAGTGATTAGATTTTCAACTTGGATATCAAGCGTGCTTTTGATTCATTTTCTCAGCCGCCCCCCCTATTTTGCCCCAGTTCATCCCCACTATCTCAGTATCTATCGTCTTTATACAAATTACATTATGGGAAGCCAGGTGTGACACCAAGCCATTCAAGTTAATTCATGCCCATCGCCATCAAGTTCAATCTCGGGAAGCCCATTCAGTATTTTTTTTTTAGGAAAAATTATGTATAGATCCGGTGAAATAAATTTATTTATAAATAAATATCATGAAATTAAAAAATCATAATGACTTGAGTATAATTTACAATTAGGATGCAAAAAAAAAAAAATTTATTTCTCAGCTGTTCTTACTTCTAAGTTGTAATACATTATCAATATAACTATTAAATATGTAAAGTTATAAGTGTAAAAATTTAAAGTGATAGTTATAAATTATTAATGAAATAATTATAAATTACTTAATTGATGTGATGTACTTTTAACAAGAATATTATTTTTTTTGTATCCCAATTTTAAATTACATTCATATCCTGATAGATCTAGCTGTGATTTTTGAATTTCACACAGATTCTTCATAAAATTATAAATTTATTTAATCGAACTAAAGTCATGAAAGACTTATTTGATAAAAAATGGTCTATCATGATGATAAAGTGTGAGACTTTCTTTTCAACATATTACCATAATAAATAAAACTTTATCATAGTAGAAAAGATTTTAGATAATATTTTAAATTCTATCATAATAGAAAAGAGACTACTATGGTAATAAAAAAATAAAATCATTTTTATAAATTTATCGTGATAAAAAAAATTTTCCTTTACATTAACCTTTCTCAATTAGACTACTATAGTAGGACAAGATCCACCATAGTAGAAAAGGATTAAACATAATATAATAGCTTTATCATAGTAATATAAAAAAAATGCCTAAAATAAAATGTACTTAATGAAATCTCATTGAATGTCACAAGTTTATAAACAATATTATGATAATAAGAGTATTTAAAAGTTAAGCATGGCTCCCTAGATGGCATAATCTCAAATAATATATCCATGTGGAGATATAATGAACCCTTAGTGGATCATAACTCTTTTCAAACACCAATTTCTTTGTTATTTCCCAAGACAGGTCCAAACAGTACTTTCAACAATTTAACACTTGATCCAACCAAGGACAACTCTAAGATATTCACTTGTTTACAACATAACCACATGACAATTTTCATTAATATATCAAAATTTAGATAGTAAAGGATTCCAAAAGACATCAATACCTCAAGTAAGTAGCGAGATTGATGACTCTAAATATTTTCACGTGTTATTGGAGAATTTTGAATTTAATTTAGAGTCATCTAAGTATTTTTGACAGAAAATGAAACTATTATTTAAGAAAAAGCAAAGAAAGGTGTTTTTGAATATGAGAAGAGATAGTTGTTAGTATTTTGTTAAAATAAATGGATTTCTTGAGCTAGAATTGCATTAACAATGTTATGCTTTGTGTAGGGTAATCTAACTTAAGAGTCAAAATGCTATATATAAGTAAAAATTTAAGATGAAGAAAAAGCAGGATTTAAGCTATGGCACTTTTGAATTAGGCCGCAGCGTGATGCCTAGTAACAGCTACAGAGTGATTTATGCTGCAATGTAATCCGATTATGTTGGAGCATAAGCATCAGTTAATAAAACGCACAGCTCCGTGAAAAATTGATGTTTTTAAAATTATGAATGTTTTGGCTCATCGTTCTTTGATTTTGCTCAAACTAGCAACTAGAAATCGACCAAGGAAGAGAGAAAAACACCATGGCTAAGGTGGAGAAGCTTGAGTTTTATGAAAGATTAATGATTTTCATCCAAAATTACTTTGATTAAGCTTTTTTTCTCCATTTTGATGCATTATTTGTTGCCTTTTGTTGTTTCTAGAAGTATGTGTGGCTGATTCTCTTTAGACTTAGAGGAACTCTAAACTTATTGATGGATTAGAGTCATGTTTACCTATTAGTTAAGCTTAATGTTAATTTTGGTCACTCAATCTTGTATTTTAATATTTATTTGATGCTTAACCAACATTCTCTTGGCCCAATTTAAATCATAATTAATTGTCTAAACATGTAGCTAACACTAATCAATCTCAAATGCACATTTATTCCTTAATTTCACCTCAAAATGAAATTCAAATCCTAAATTTTAAATCCTCATTTTTCCTAATTTATCTCCTAAATAAAAATTAGGATTTTACAGGAATCAATGTCGAGAGAACAAGAAGATTGAAAACATGAAGTAACTATGTTGGAATATTAGTTGTTAAGATGTTAGTTAACCATGGTTAGTCATTAGCCTGAGCTTGTATGAAGGGATAAATAAGGATTAAGCATTTAGGCAAGGGAGTTGTATCCCACTCCTAGAGGAAGGCTGACAAAGGTCTTCACCTTAAAGTTGGAGTTTGTAGATCACCTTAGTCGGGTAAATTAATGTAAGATTTTCATCATCTTTGTTGTTAATATTCTCTTCAATATTCTCAACAAGCTAAAATTTCAAATGACTATAATAACAAATTGGTTTTGCTTTGAATCAAATCTAAATACATAAATTTTTATACGTTCAAATAGAATATTTCGTCCAAATATGGATTCAAATTTAAATCTCTATCGATTTAAATATAATGTTAATAAAATAATAAATTCACACAAAACTAGTACCCAAAATCATATTATATATTTAAAGTATTCATTTTGTCTATTGTGATTTCCCCAAACGAACACGCTTATTCCCCCCACCCCAAGAAAAGAAAACAATAACATCTCAAAGTAAGTAATTCAAATTATATAACTAATTACTCAATTAATTTCCCCATGATGTTTTGCTGTTCATGGCTGTCAGCTCATGTGTCATGGCCGACCAAATATGCAAGTATAGCCCACAGTAAGTTTTAAGCAAAGATGTTTCACTTTTTTCTTTCTTTTTTTCTTGGGGGAGGGGGGGGGGGCCCTTCACTATCATACCTCTCCTCTCCCACCACCTTCTACGCCTCTTGCTTACTTTTCATCCTCTCTTCTATTCCGCAATCTGAACATGCTTCAACAACACATTAGAACCACGCAAATGGGTAGATTTTGTTGGGGTTGACTGTTTGGATCATTACCTATCAAATTATGCATAAATTTAGGATTTGAACTTCATTAAGTGATGCCCTTCTCTGATTATCAAGTCAGTGCCTTTTTGCCTTTGACATGTTATCCATATAGGTCATGCACAGCGCTCAAGAATCTAGAATCAGTGCCGCACTGAAACCAAGATGAATTGGTGACTTGGACAAGAAGGTATTTGTCTCTTTGCTACTTAATTTTCTTCCTTTCTTTCTTTTGTTTTTTTTTTTGGTAGATTTCATTTCACATGCACATCTGGTAATGGTATTGCTACAGATACACTTCCCCCTTCATATGGTTCATTTTTTTTCCCTCAGTACAGCGTCATGACATCAACTTTTTCTTTTTGCCTTTGACATGTTATCGATATAGGTCACGCATAGCACTTTAGTAACAGTGCAGCACTGAAATTAAGATGAATTGGTAAGCTGGACAAGAAGGCCTTTTTCTTTTTACTACTTAATTCTGTTTCGTAGATTTCATTTGATATACTCATCTTGTTCTGCTATTGCTACATACAGATGTATTTTTCCCCTCCTAGGGCTCATTTTTTCCTTAATACAGCGTTATAACAACATTTAATTAACCATTCCTGTCTAACACCCTACAGCATCAACTTGAGGTAAAGTGAGTGGATTTCCCTCTAAAAGACATAGAACTGGTGGGACAGTAAGTGTCTGCATAGTTCCATAGGCATTCCAGCAAAATGGGTTGGCCAGAAAATGGCCTTGTGCAGGAAGAAGCTCTACTTCTGATAGGGTGAGGTTTGTGCATGGAACAGAATCGCTGCAGGCGAAACGCATCGGAGGGCTCCTCACATCATAAGTACCTTTGATGTTCAAGTAGGAAACATTGGAAACCAAAACAGCAGATGTCTGGTTGATACAGTCCTTGGAGAGACAGTAGTATTGGTCTATGATGATTGGATTTCGAACAGTGTCCATGTAAATGTTACTGAACGTTACGTTGGACACTGTTCCTGCTCCACCCTGCCATGTCTTTATCCGAACCCCATTATCTGAGTGCTTTATCACTGATTCTGTCACCTTTACGTTGGACACACAAGCTCTGGAATTGTGATTTCCAAGGCTACCAATGCTGCACATTAGATAATCCCATTTACACAATAGTCTCAGAAAATCATGCAGAAAGTCACAACCTTTCTTTTGGTATTATTATTTATACTGTTTTGTCTCACAAGGTATACATACCTAATCCCATGACTTGGACCGCACGTTATATTCTTTATGTCCACATTGTAACAACCAGCTCCAATTGACACACAGTCATCACCTGCGCACAGGGGAGGATCATAAACGGGGAGTAAAGAGAGCTTCCTGGCCAAGTTATGATGTCTGAATGAGATAATCAGAATCTATGGAATTACCATTGGAGATAAGTGAATTATAAATTTGGACATTATTTGTCTTCTCAATGTGAATTCCATCTGTGTTCGGACTTGAAGCAGGGGATTTTATGACAAGCTTTTCCACATGGACGTCTTGGCAGCCATCAAACCTAAAATGGAATTGAGGGCTGTTCATGACTTTAACTCCCTGCACTGTTAAATTGGTGCTCATGAAGAATCTGATGGCCTGCAAAAGAAACATTCAGTAACGACTTTGTAAGATAATTTCGCTTTGAAACTTCCATGCAGAACACTTTCAACAGCAATTTCAACTATTGCTACAACGCACAACTGGGCTATCACATGGACCGTGATCTTTTGTTCCACTTTTTCCCTGAAACGGCAAACTGCAAACTTAGTAGTTGTAATAGACCAGAAGGGGTGGTGTTAATAAGGTCAGAGAAAATAATAAAATATACTTTGTGATGGTGAGGCTTACAAGGGAGATCCCACCATTGCTCTCCTCTGCCATCAATAACGCCAGCGCCCTGCATTGAGAATCCATTGATTCTGTAGAAAACCAGCCATTGTCTCTTGCTGCTATAACTGGGCCATGAATCAGGCCCATCCGGTGCCACCACAGTTCCCTCAATCTTCTCACATTTAATACCAGATAAAGAAACATCAAATTTTAACCAGAGCTCAACATATACAAATTTTCTTCTTCCAAGTTATACCCAACCGAACATTACCTGAAATGTTATAGCAGTTTTACAAGGCCCTGTGAATATAGTAGACTGTATCATGAAGATATAACCATCCGGAACAAGGAGGGTTCCTGATTCTTTAGCCTGGCATGCTGTGTCCCAAGCCAACTTAAATGCTTGTGTGTCATCAGAGATGCCATCTCCAACAGCACCAAAGAATCTTACATCATAAACGGGAGGCCCATGGCCATCGTAACTTGGGCTAAGAGCCTCAGGTGCAGCAGAAGGCGTTAATGATATACTGTTACTCTGAAGTCTACCTTGAGTTGGGAGAAAGCACAAGCATGTGAAAATGAAGAAAAACCCAGGGAGAAAATGGAAGTATTTCATGTTTGGTTAAGGGCGTTCTAGCTAAGGTGTGTAACAGAGGGGGTGGCTATTTATAGCACAAAGCAAGTCCTATCTCGCTAGGCATGCAAAATGAGCTGAGACTTTGTTGTGACATTCAAGGAATTGAACAGAGATTTTTTTAGACTAGGTCACTATCGTGGGTTAGGCATAGCAGGGGTACAAGGAAGCAAGGCACCCTCGTTTCTGGAAGGAGAAACAGAGTTAAGCTGCAGATTACGTGACCACTTTGAGCACTAAATATTACAAATTGCAAGGGATCATACCAGAACCAAGAAGCAGAAGATATTGCAGAATGGCATCGGGTGACACATTTTATACTTGGCTTCACAGGTCATAGTGGAAGTTACTTTTTGAGGATAGGTCTGCGCCTGACATTACAATAATGGCGCAAAACCGACCAATTCCATTCAAGGAAGTGAGAGTGGCATTTTGATGCAGTTTGCTGAGTCCACAAGCGATCAATTTATGTTTAAATGATTCCCTAGTTATAGGCATGGTTGCTTTTAATATTTCTCTTGTAATACTGACAGTCGAACTTTTTATGCCAACGCATTTAGTTCAAGTCATTTGAAGTAATATTGAGCTAATAATTCGTTCCGGGATGATTACACGTTGATTTTAAGACCCCATTTGCATTTAGTTGAAGGAAAAGTGGAGAGCCTGTCGCAGGTTTCAGAAGAATGCTAAACGTGCCATTGAAGAATATTGTGGACGACCTATGTTACTTGAGACCTAATTTGGCACCATTTCCATGAAAGCGAGTTCTCAAGTCACTACTACATGGTGGAGTAGAGTTTCTTCGCAGAGGCAATGGAAAAGAGAGTGCAGCTTTAATGTTTCTGGCCAAACTCATGAAGCATATGCTTGTAGTACAGCACGAGACTAATAGATACTTGTTCTTAACTTTTGAGACTTGATTACATATTCTGACTTTCTCGGCAATTGCATTTATTGTAGTACCTCGACCTAAACTTGCTAACTGGCATCTCTATTAAATATGAGATGGTCGCTAAATTTCATTTTAACTACCAATAGAGAACCTGATGTCTTAAAAGTGTGAGTGTTATCTGTCAGTGTCCCCCCCCCCCCCCCCCCAAAAAAAAAAAAAAAAAATTTTCTCGAATCAAAGTTCCCGTAGTAAAAGAAAAAAAACCAAGCGATTGCCACATTTCTTTTGTTGTTGGAACCCAATTAAGTGATTGGTTGACGTTATATATTGAGGTCAACGCAAACTAATTATTAACGAAGAAGAAACTGAATCTGGGGCCAATGGTCAGTTTCAAAAGGGCCCCTCCTTTTCGGCTGCATTTGCAAGCACCACTGCCACTGGGTGACCACTCTACAATGTACTTAATTTATCTTATCGACACGATCTAAAAACAAAGGTTTTATTATTCTACTTCTACATTGGGCTTTAGGCATCACTAATAATAATTATTTTTTAATTAGCCATCTCTGGCTTTGCCACTCAACCACGAAGGATGGCGGTGTAGTGGAGTGTACACAGATCAGTGGATAGTGTTGGCATTTTTTATGTGGGAATTGCTGCTCCAAGTGGAGGTGGCTTCACAGGTCCAGAACCTTCATTAAAAGAAAAGCAATCTGATTGTGCGGAAAATATAATAGCTTTGACCTTATAATGGGGACTGAGACATTAACCTCTTTTGAACTATATTGTTCATGACTTCTGAATCATACAACTCCCTATGTTAATTTTTAATCTCATATTGATTTCACAATTCTCGGCCAAACAAAAAGATTTCACAGTTAAAAATGGATTATTAGAATTCCCAGAGGAAGAAACTTTATTGCCTGTGCTGTGTTTAGAGTCAACAAAACAACCGTGCCAATTAAGGTTTCAGTTTAGCATAATTTTACAGTGCTTTCGTTTCATACACCGTATCTAGCTGAAACGCGAAAACGAGAGATTAAGATCTACAGCGCTTCACAGACAGCAGAGTTTTCTTACAATATTTCTCTCTGGGAAGATTTTTCTTTAATGCCAGATATTCGGTACTAACCATTATACATTACTCCACGAAGCAGATTTGGCTGTAACCATTTGTTCATTCCCCCGCACCTGAAGCGAAATGATGAACGAACACACGAGCAACATTGCTCACGTAGAAGATAGGGGATTGCATGTTCACACATAAGCTAACTAGCACAAAGTTTAAGGCATTTCTTTTGCCAGAGAAATAAGGTATGACGCTTAATTGTTACCAATAAAGATAGTTAGATTGGCCAGTTTATGGTCAGGCTTGAAAGAGGAATGTGGCCAACCATATCGAGCCAGCGACTAAAAGAACATGATGAGAGTACCAGATGTGCAGAGTACAGACCATTATTTACAAAATCTCAAGCTAATTGCCACTCACTCTGAACCACGAAGACTAGGAACAGCTTTTTTAGAAGAAGAAGAAGAAGAAGAAAGAAAGAAAGAAGAGAAATGTAGAAGAAGAAGAAAGAAAGAAGAGAAATGTGTAAGATATCATAGCCACTATTAATTGCCTCTCCTTCTTGTCTTTACAGTTGAAGTTTCTTGGCTCCTCTTGAGAAAAAAGAAATCTAATTTGCTCGGAAGAATAGAAATGTTAGATTACATCCTCTGATTTTAATTATTACCGAGGCACAATACGTTTCATCATTGAATTAATTTACAATGCTTATGGAAGGAAAATAAGTGTAACCAGAAGCAGATATAGCAGTAAGGAATTAAGAGGCTTATCTGTTGTCAAAAGCTATGTACAAATGTATCTGTATATCTATCTATCTATCCCCAGTCCAAAAAGGGAAGGACTGGATATCCACCCTCAGGAGGAGGCTTCAAAGACGGAGGTAAATTGTCCCATGCCATTCCCATACTGCCTTGCACCGCATTTCCTGTATATCATAATTACAAGCGAAGTTACGAATCAAGGATAATAACATTACAAAATATATATTACTTTCCCGTTTGTCTTGTTTTTCTTTATGCATCCTTGCTATAGAGCAATAACTAATACCCAACAGAACTGAAATGGAAGTCAATCATTAAACCCAGTACTAAGCCACTAAGCTAGAATTAGGGCATATCTCTGACAAGTATGCTGCATGAATTCAACCCCATTTAGTTCACCTGGTGGACAGCCTCCGCCAACCAGATTAGTCGCCGTTGTTAATGCTGCTGGCTGCATATTATCTGTAAAACATTACAAAATGATGCACAAGATGTTACAGTTAGCCTCAAACAAGGACCAAGAAGATGTTTTCAAAACATTTCTTCCAGACATTATTTTCCCTCTTCTAATCCCATCTTCTTCCAGAAAGCTCTCGCATCTTGGGAATGAGTCCGATTAGGATGGGAAATCGAAACTAGACAGAAAAAGGTCGGGGGTGAAATTTACCAAGTACTCCCCCTTGAGGATTGGCATTGGTCAAGATTCTTGGATGAACATACTTGCAAGAATCACCGTACTGGCAGTAACCCTAAAGGACACACGCAGAGGAAGCATAAAAAAAAAAAACTCAAAACGTTAACTTTCACCAAGCAATCAACCATCTAAATAAAATCTATTTTCCCAGCGGAAATTAGAAAGATACCGTTTTGACGAAGCGAGTGCAAACCCCTTTGACAAATCCATCTGAATACACCTGCCTAGGATCTGTTAAGCGGTTAATTTAAAATCAGCGAAAAAAGGGACATTAGGCCGGAGGGGGAGAAGGGCAAAGAAAGAGAAAACGAACCTTGAAATTTGAGGGAATCGTACCAGAGAGCTTTAGCCCGGAGGTGCTGGATGCCTTGAAGATGTCGTTTACGAGCTGGAGGCGTGTCCTGTATGTGCTTGTCGCAATAGTCGCAGTAATATTTCCCCAGTGGCATTCTTCTCCCTCTCTCCCGTCGGCTGTGCCATACTTTTCGCGGTGGTACTCTTATTCTATCGAAACTTCATGAGTGAATTGAAGCAAAACGATTCGTTTCCATTTTTTATTACTTTTTTTTAAACAACTTTTTTTATCATTTTTTATTACATCGTTGTCCGTGTCAATTGCCGTCTGCAAGTCCATCATGGAACTTCCTGTCAACGTCTTCCCATTGCTCATCTAGCAGCCTTAATTTTAATTCCAGGACTAAGTTCATTAATCAAGGTTAATTTGATAAAATTGAGTATTTAAATGGTTTATTAAAGATTAATGATAGCTAACAAATCTATTTGTATTGGATACATTGTTTGAATTGGGCTCAAAAATGTACTGGGCCTAAATGGTGAAAGCTAAGTTGAGGCCCATGATGCTGAGCTATCCACGGCAGTGAACACATTATACGCTACAGTGGATAGTTTGAAAATTTAAAAATTTAAACCTAAAGATTAAGAGTTAGACATTCACAAGATATATATATATATATGGAGAGAGAGAGAGAGGGTGACCGAGGAGAACTTATCTCTATGAGAGTACAAGATTTTAGGCATCTTTAAGAGGTTTGAGCTTAGATTCCACTAGGTAAGGTTTCTTCATCCTTCCTCTTCCTTCTACACGTTTTAGTAGTAGTTTTTATGATTGGGAGATGAATTTTCAAATCTTGAGAGTTTTGAGTCCTAACCCATTCAATTCAATGAGAGCTATTTAACACTTCTAAATTTAGTTTGGAGAATTTTTTTTTTTTTAGGTTATGAGCTTAGGGCTAGGGTTTTAGATGAACCCTAGCCACTTTAAAGAGAAATTTAAGTTATTGGATGTTATAATTATTGCTATTCAAGCTAATGAGAATTAAATGAAGTTAATGAGAGTTAGTAAACATTTTTTATGTGAAAATTGAACTTGTAATTGGGAAGTTGGAGTGAGGAAAGTGTAAGATTGGGAGTTGTAAGTGGCTTTTAAGTGAATATTTAGCATTCATGAATTGCTATTTATTGTAATTAGTTTTGTCACATATCTTTTGAGCTCATTTACAAGCTCAGGAAGCAAGTATTGGGGGTAATATTTGATTTCTCAAATGTTTGAGGTAATAAGGGAATCTCTAACTTGTGTTATTGCTTGTTAGATTAATTATGATTAATTTTTAAATTTGTAAATTATTTTTTTTCAAGCTTTAATTTGATATTTTATAATTATAGAAAATCATATGTAAGTATGGCTTCTCAATATTAAATGGAACTAATTAGTCTTGACAAAAGTTTCCATAATGTTGAGAACATATGAGGCAATGTTTGGATGGAACATAAAATATTGAGATGATATGTGCATGCTTGAGTAAGGTAATTATGTTATGTGATATTAGTATGCATGGTAATGCGTCATAAATGGTTCATGATAATTTGATGGGTGGGAAGATGCCCTGAGAGGAATAGTGTTTACTTCCACATGAAATTTATAACCATTACCATTGGTGGCCTTGATGTTTGCTTTTTTGAGTTAGACCTTCTTGAATCTCACTTAGGAATAGGTGTGCGTTGGTTGCATAAATCCCGTTCTTAATGTTATCTTCGATTGGGTATACGGTGGGATACATAGCATCCCAATGGATTTGGGTGTTGGGAGACCATGGTTTGGAATTGAGTAAAGCATATTTGGCAGGGTGACTTTTCATAATTGGTGAGTTTAAATTAGTCTAATTACATGAATTTAATACTATTAAATTATCAACCTATAGATTCAATTGAAAATATATGGAAGAAATAAAGTATTGTTAATCATACATTTTGAAATTTCATGGGATGTGATATTGTGTTTTTGTGTTATGTAATATTGCTTGGTTATCAAATGCCACTTTCCATACTTTAATTGATTTAACCATAAGAAACTTTCAATCGTTCACATTGAAATTTTATTTCCCTACCACGCCTGACACGCATAAAGGGTGCGCCATTCTTGTACGCCAATAGATGCATTACACAGATGGGCCATCCACGATCCAACCTAGGTCAAACTGCTAGGAATGCATTGTTCATAATCTTGTTTATACTAGTAACTTGAATACCATTTTAATGTAGAATATAAATTTGTACCACTAGATAAAATTATATTATGCGTATGACAGTATATTATTTCATCATTTATGATAATTTGCTTATTTTACAAATTGATTCCATTTTCGGATTTTGTATCGTTAAAAAAATTGAATATGTATACATTTTTTTTGTCTGAGTGCTTTATGTTAATTAATACCAATTGTTTACACATTATAAATAATTTTTTTAATTCTCTCATTTCACAGAGCCCCTCAATTTATAATTAAGAGAAAAGACGTTGCCAATCACCGAATGAAACAAAACATCGAATGCAAGTTTCAATGAAATATTTAGCTATCGATATATCAATACAAATATCAAATTTATAAGAAAAATCATATTATGTATTTTTTTCAAACTCTGAAATATACAGAAAAATATGTCCAATTACTTTATTTCCTAATTAACATGTTATTTCATGCACATGCGTGCGTGTATACATATCATGTAATAATCTACTAGCACAAGCAACAAATCAACTTAGTTAAAAAGGGGAAGAAAAAAAAAAGAGCATTGGATAATAAGAAAATATAATACAAACGACCCCCATGGCACCAAATCATTTTTTTTTTAAAAAAAAAAAACCTTATGTCATGACACTTGCGGAAATATTCTTAAAATTGCTATGATGAGGACCATGTCTTTCAACACCCCAAGTTATAGAGCCGAATTTACTACCTTTTAAACCGTTGGGATTGAGACACGGCATCAAATGACAAATATCTAGGGCCTATTTATTGAATTTTAAAAAAATACAGAAATTCACTTAGATCCTACACAAAATTATATGAAAAAATTGTATGAAATCACAACATTATTTCAAATTTAGAGTTCAAGCGTCTATTGTCAAAAGTCAACCCAAAAGTAACGCGATATGCAATAATCTTTTGCCGCGGAAGAAGGCAACCCGCAATGATTCAATAGTATTTAATCAACTTGATCCACAACAAATTAGGCCTTCCAAATCTTCTGCCTCGCAAGGCAGATTGTAATTGAAATTATACAAAAGCTCGGGAATTACAGACTGCATCTAACAGCATGTGCATGTTGTTCCAAAAAAAAAATCTAAAATTATAATTAAAACACCAAGAGAAAAAAAGGGCGGGGCAACAAATGTGAATAGAAGCCAAAACTGGGCAAGAAAGAAGTCTAAATTCTATATATCTGAATAAATAATAATTGTCACCAAACAAATATAATCCTCTGAAACGCTCCTCGCGACCAGTTTAGCCAAGTCGAGCATCCACATTAATCGATGTGACCTCAAGGCAAGATTCAACCTTCTCCCTTTCGATTGAAATAATGGCTGTGACTTGACTGATAACATAGACAGCAGGCTGCCAAAAACCCTTCTCTGAAAGTCAGGGAAGATGCAAAAAGGTTTTAGTTTGCATGTTACATGTATTGTGTAAATGCATATTAGCTCAAATCACCAAGGGCATTAACAAACTATTCGGTGATTTCATAAACTCCAAAAGACACTGACATCTAGAATACAAACCAACCAGCTTTCACGAGACCATTGGGGACTAAATCATTTAACTATTGAACCTTTTTTCTTTTTCGTTGAAAAATCCAAATAACTCTCTGCAGATATTTGTTTTATCTTCAAATGCAAGTTCAATATTTAAAAAAAAAAAACCCTGCTAAGGTTCAAACATTTTAAGCTCGGGGTTACAGTTGGTGCAATCACCCACAGGATACATGTGCACAATTTTCACATTTACGTCGAGTGACACGTTAAAAAGAAATGTGTATCTACGAGCCAACTCGACCCAAATAAAACTCTGCCCTCCTCTAATTGTAGGTATTCAGGAGCGATCAAAAGAATGCTCTCAAAAAGCGCATGATGTAAGTGGGATCACAATCGCAGTTGAAATAAGTAGTAATTTTGAAATGAAATTCTTTAAATTAACTAGAACAGACTAACATCATCGACTTAAGAAAGTACTGCTCTGACATGGACTAGAAGTGTGCAAAAATCTCTCGGCAGTTCGATGAATCATTACCCCTTTTTCTTTTTAGGTGATGAAATCCCGAAATCCACAATTAATAACATCAAGTTCGTACTTACTATGTAATATATTTTTCCTTAGAAAAAAGGTTCCATATTCACTAAAGAGAAAAACAACTAAGTTCTATGACAACAACCCGCCAACCACCTATGATGCCTTTTCTCTCCAGGGAGAAGGGAATCCAAAGAGATGCATAATGATAGTAACAATTGCCACACAACCATCCCTTCCCTGCCTCTCTCGCCTGCAAAAGCAGAAAAGAAGCAACACTCAACTTCCAAAACGACCATATGCACAATACCTAGTCTACCCGTTAACATATGATAGAATTCCTTCTCACTCCCGCCTACTCTTACATATAGCAAGAGATGTAAAACAGGAGAGAACAGCGAAGAAGTGTTAAAAGAGGGAGTAACTCCTTCAATGATTGGCCGCCAATTTTTTAGAATGTTAGCCTCTTTTATACGATGGGTTGTCAGTCTCCCAGATAGGATGTGTTGTCTTTTAATTAGTAGATATGTTCAGCTTTCTAACACATAAGATGTGAGAAGCACTATTAAGAACATGGAGATTCTCCTTAGGCTTCATTAGAACATAAGTTGCAGATTCTGGTTCATGTTCTAGTAGAGGTTTTCTCCTATTTCCTCTACAAATCAGATTCAATAAACCTAACAAAATGTTTCGTGGCATAAGAGAGAGCGGCCGTAAACTACCAAGGTACTACCTACCAAGATTAGCCAAACATGCTTGATAAGGGACAAAAGTCAGTACCTTTAAATTATTATTGCTGCACCTGTCGGGATAGCTGAAGCATCCAATCAGCATAACCACTGTTACCACCCATTTGGTCCTCAACAAGATTTGCAAGGATAAGGAATCCCTCTCTGGGCTGCTCGCCTTGCCTCACAAGATAGCACAACTGATAATAAGAATGATCAGTATTTCTCAGTTTCTCAAGTATCCTGATTAGCTTCCTTGACATCTCATTATCATGCTCCTTAAGGGTAACCTGTTTAAGAAACAAAAGAAGTAAACATCACCAATAAACAATAAATTTTGTTCGACAAGAAATCAATATGAGAAAAACATTACAAATGAATATAAAATAGTATAATTCATTTTGAACTAAGGACCGACCCATCAACAATTCTAACACTGTAAAGGTGCGTGTATAGAAAGAGAAATATGAATATACAACAAGCGGTTATTATGACTATTCAAAAAGCACCGGTAACATTTGAACAAGGAGATAAAAGTAAAGAAGAAGAAGAAGAAGCATAAAACAGCAGATGAACGCTTCCCGTAGATTTTCTCATAAATAATAATTCCTTGGTCTCTCTATCATGAATAATCCTATATACCTACTACAAATTTTCCCGGCAAGAATATAACATACCTTTGATAATTCTGCAGCAAAGTCTGCCCCAAGCAACTTCTTAGCCATATCAGGTAAAAGCACTCTACCAAACCATATAATGAACCGGAAGCCATCATCGTATACATAAAGGCCTCTAGAATCCATGCTCTCACCAGTCAATGGTAGCCTTTTCTCAATGTTTTTTAACTCATCAGACTGCACAGATGCCTGAAAACAATAGCAAAGATAATTCAATAATTTGTCACATTAAAAGTTGTATGGGAAAGTTTTTGACAGCACCATGTGTACCTTCAACAAGTATTCATCAAGTCGAATCAAGCTTGGATATAGAAATTTCAACAGCCTTTTTATTGGTAGAGCCATCATTGTGTATCCTGCTGCACACCGTTCATCCAGGGGAGCATCAGCATGCCCTCCACGGAGGGGTGTTGATTTACAAAGTGCTAAGCCATACAATGGTAGGAATTTTAGAGACTCAGGATATATCATCCTGTTAGCCAAGCGATGTTGCACAGCATATAGATTTCGATATTCTCTGAGGGCCTTGACAATTCTTAGCTGTACAGCACTCCTTGCATCTTCCAGTTTATTAGACAATGTTTTCTCAATTACTGCAAATATAAAAGAATTTTTAAAGATAACAGCAACTAAGATCCATCCATGATGACATATGATATTCCTAAAATGGCAGTACTTGTTACCCTACCTAGTCTACTAAGTAGAGAAACTATGGCACCAGTATCAGCCAGGCGATACATCTCTCCCAAGTCAGTGACTACTGGAGCTGCAGCAGTGTGTATTCTGATCCGTCTTTCCCCACAAGATGCAGTATATCTATATTTCTGTTAAGGATGCGACCATTTTTTCAATCACATTTCAGATATACAACCTGACCTCAACAAATGAAATGCAAGCACAATGTACACATATGACAAACAATAGACAATGAAAGACAAACAGTCAAAAAAAGCAATACTAAGTGATGAATGTCCTAAAAAAATGAAGAAGAAAAAATGAAAGAAATATACTCCTTTAGGTCCTAAATGTAGAAGCTAGTTGAGGAGTTTGCTTTTGTTCTAAATGTAAGACCTTAATCGACTTTGTCTCCCAAATTTATAAATTTTTCCGCAAACTATCCCCATTGATTGCGCATATTAAAAAGGGGTTTTCATCAAAAGGGAAAGGTCCCAATGCAAATGATAAAAGGGTATATTTTAAGAAAATCAACACCATTTTTTAACAAATAATTAATTAATTTTCTTAATCTCTGTAAATTAGTTATCTAGCTCCCACATTTAGAACTGGAAGGAGTATTAAATACAGCATTTGACATTCCATGTGCAACACCAAAAGAAGAAACAAGACAAAAGCCCAGATCTTTTAAATTAGAAATGCCTCAGTTTCAGGAATAACGTTAGATTTAAGCAATGAATCACTCACAATTCAATAGAAACTCAACTGAATGTCACTATTTCTTTTTCAAAAAAAAAAAAAAGTTACCACTATTTCAATATTGCAAATCCCTGGTTGCAAAACATGAAGGGCGGAAGAGGGCCCAGACATATAGACAGCTATATTTTGACAAGACGACCCCAAACTTTTTAAGCACTGTTATTATACGGAGAAGTCAATATTAATCCAAGACAAAACTTATTCATAATATCAGAACTCATCTCCAGCATTGTGGACAAAAGGATACAGCAATGCAACTTGGAAATACATAGTCTGAGTTGTCAGCAACGTCTCTTCAAGAGATAATTGCATGGCAAAAGCTTTATCACAATCTACAGCCGGAAGTGCTAACAAATCAGTAGATCTTAGCATGAAGTTCCCGTGAAAAGTTGTGAAGCGAACACCTTAAAGCATAAACACAATTGTCAACTTCTGCATGTTATATATGTAGATAACCATAAGACAAGCAATGAAACAACAAATGGACAGACCTTTTCCACATCTAATGCGCAGTACAGCTTCCCAGGCAGTTTCTCTGGTTAGGTCTCTCCTTAACTCATGCCTCAATTTCTCCCCATGAATAGTTGATTGGAAAGCCGGATAGTAATATACTTGACCTGCAGTGTACTTTGCCAAAGTTCCTAGACAGAAAAAGACAGATAGATATCTCAATTAGTGACCGGTAACTCCACTCTCAAGATAGAAATCTAGCATATGTCCCTATAAAGATCACTTCTGCAGTGGAAATCAAGTTGTAACAATGCGTGCACTTTTAAGAGCCACTATGCATCTTGACATAATCTTATAATGCACATTACAGATTAACCACTTCACATATACTCATAATAGGTAGAAATGGAAGTCATTGAGAAAAAAAAGTTCACTAAATAATCGTGATGAGATGGTGATCAAATAAGAAAATAATCAGTCATCCATTCTGGGGTGCTGCCTGCAGATAACGATGATGTTATTTGCAGTTTACATCAAACACCTTTAAAATGAATGAGAATGAGAATAAAACTTGATTATTGTATTGGATTGAACTTCCATAAAATGAAAGAAATAACCATAAAAGAATGCTGCACCACCATAGAATAATCACATATCACCAGAAAGTCTCCTGATCCCCAAAAACAGTATAAAACATCGCTTTGTAATTTAACAATACAGTGGGTGTAGTGAAGTAAAGTGAAAATGATAAAGAGTTACCTAAGGATGCAATGTCAGTGTACTTGTCACTAAATGCGTACACGTTAGCACAGATCTGGTATTTAGAAAACTCAGCAGCCATTTGCTTGTAAAATGGATCTTCTGGCAGCCTTAACATGTGTTCTTTATCAGTCCCATAAGCACGAGCATCATCTCCACGTAATTTTAAGCGTCCAACACCAAGAGATGGCAGTGCATTTTGGAAAATTAACAATTTCCCTCCAAGTTGACTCTGAAGAAAGAGAAGCAAGTGAATGGCATGAAAACAGTAATACAGAATGGCCAGTAAAGAGACAGACACAAGGATATCTCCACCCCAACTGCTCCCAAGTTAATCTACTTAACAAGACACAAGGAATTAAATAGAACAAATCAAAACTCTATATAAACAATTGATGCAGGGCATCCTTATAATCAAGATGCCAATCATGCCTGCATACAAATGATACCCATCTCCCTGCATCATTAGTTGGATGCACATGTAATATCAGGGTCAACTTGCCCAGCTTTTTCACATGGATTTGAAATTATTTTTGACCAATGAACCTCTTTGAATATTACCTTCAAAATTCCAAACTATGGCTTAATAATACTTTGAATTCTTGTTGAATACTTCCCTTTCCAACACTCAATGAGTCCTTCCATCCCTAGTCTTGGAAACTTATCTTTTAAATCATGTATAACTTGTTGTCAATAAAATGAAGAACTTAGCAGCATCCAAAATGCCTTGCAGCATAGGATGTGCAACATTTTGGTCATATTCCATACAAGCTGAAAAACCATGGGATGTCATGTCCCTAAATTTTTTATGTTACTAAGACCATTAATTTTTCAGGACTATGTTCAAGGGAGTCATTTGGGCTAGCCCCAAACTGAATCCCCTCGTAGAATCTTAAAACTGCATTTCCTCATGTCTCCCTTGTACATTTACAATTTTAATCCTACAGTGATCCTTGAGGAAATTGTAACCAAGTTGAAAGAAATGTCATCCCTGCTTACCACACCAACTAGACGAACTTCCCTTGGCAATTAACTATTTTATAAAATACCATTCGTGTAAAGTCTTCACAAACTTTATGCTGTTCTACCAAACATGCTAATCTTAAATACCACTGTATTTTATACTTTAGCATGCAAAATATAAAGTAATGAAAGATAAAAGTATATCAAACAGCTCTAAAGTAGGAGAAAAGGGGACCACCATACCATAACCATGAATGCAGCCTTAAGAGCCGGACCAAAGGCTGATTCAATATTTATATTGTTCTGGAACATGCATGGCAAACTGTCAAGGAAGGTCTCCACCACACTTCTGGATTCTGATAAATTAACAAGGAGATCGTCTGGAAGTGGAACAAATATGTCATCCAGATCTGAGACTACCAACATCTGTGGTTGAGTCAAGGACGACTGGACAAGCATAACAAACTATAGTTAGCACGTATTTACACAAGATAAAAATTGTATACATACTAACAGCATAAATACTAATGCAAACCTTCATATTATAAAAATGAATTGTGCTGTCAAATGTTGCAAAACCTATTTGAGTTCGTGGAGAGCCAGGCAACTCATCTAGACACGACTTGATTGTTTGGGCCACAACCTGCATTAGGATAATAAATATAAAGAGAAAGCATTATATTCAAGGACATGCATGCATAGGCACGAAACAATAGAACCATCTAAAACATGTTCTGTTTGAAGTTGGTAAAAATAAAAAGTTTCAACAATTTTTCTTTCTTTTCCTTTTTTTTTTTGTTTGCCTTTTTGGCAGTGGGCTTAAATTTTTCTACACAACGAATCAGAAACAGAATACACTACACCTGTACTCTGACTTCTTTAGAGGGGCTGGCAACAGAATTTATCAACGCATGCATCTAGCAAGCTCTGAAACTAACCAATTCACACAATCTTGATAAAAACATAGAAGTGTGGCTAAGGCCATACTAAGAATATGGTACAAACAAAAAATTGTCTCCAAGCTTTAGCAGTCACATACAACAACAACAAGCCTTATCTCACTAAATGGGTCAGCTACGTGAATTATATGACGCCATTGTGCTCTATCCTTTAACAGTCACATAGAAGCTATAAAATTTACTACGATGCAAACAATTTCCATGCAAAAGAATGAACAGCAACAAAATCTATGAAGACCCAGAATTGATTTTTAAAATTAAACAAAAATCTTTAAATGCTTACCTCAATCATTCCACTTCTAACTGCAGATATGGAAACATCAATGAGGAAGAAATACACTGGGGGCATAGGAGGTCGCACCATATATTCAGCAGGGGCAACAAATTCCACAGTACCCTTTGTAAGCTCAGGTCTTTGATCCAAATCAACTCTTCTACCAGTGGCATCTAATTGAGCAAAATATTCACTAGGCACTGGACATATGAATCACTACATAAGCACTGTGAGATATTAATTCAAAGTTTCAAACAACTATAATACACTAGGCAAATAAAATGTTAACAATTAACGCACATTATATATGCTTAAAATAAGCATAAAGCACTTGTTATTAAGAAAAAAAGGCATAAAGCATGATTGACATGACTTTACAGAGTTGGCAAAGCCTGATAGCAACTTTTGCCTTCATAAAACTATGGCACCATGATATACCTGTTAGGGGCAGCAAGCCAAGCATATATGTGTCCCTGACAAAATGTCCTTTTGGGGGCATACAATAAATTAAACAATACAACAACAAACATTATGCCATTTAAGTGTGTCAATAAAAAAACTACATAAACCAGCACCTAGAAGAAAAAACACTGGACATCTTCAGCTTAAAATATTTCAAAACTTTTTTCTTAGAAATTTTTTTGCCATTTCAACTGACTTTGTTTAATGTAACAGCAGAGGCTGCTAAAGTTGTAATTACCATCATTCAGCAAAGTGCAAACATTGCACCGAAATTTTCTTCCAGCATCTGTGAATGTCACATATGGATTCACATAAGTGCGACATCTTCTACACCGTATGACACTAGTTGGGGCAAAATTGATTATAGGCACCTCTTCCTGAGAACAAGTATGAAAAATGAGAAAAGGTGCAGTGAGAAGACAGACACAAATTGCTAGTTAAATTGTGTAAAGAAACACGTACCCCATCAGGAGCTTCTGCAAGTGGACAAACAACTGCTCCAAGAGGCAGATGCCATCTTGAAGCTAAGGACTGGGAGCTGGGAATCGCACTGGTTGTTAGCCGTAGATATCTGGGGTTGCAGTTCATGGGGAAAAGGTCAGCCAGAGATGTTGGCTCCACATCACCATCCAGTGGTCTTGGCAGTTCTTTAGCATCAACAACTTGATCCATTGAACCAGGACGAGTTTGAATAGAAAGTGAACTGAAGTCTTCTGTCAGGCCCTGAATGGCACCAACAGAAGGTCCATATCCTTGCTGTTGCATCTGCTGCATGCCTAACGGAGCAGCCACAGGAGGTGGTGGAACATAGCTCCCTTGATGAGATAGAGCAGGTGGAGCCGGTGCATAATTACCTTGATTAGCGGGAAAAGATGGATGCATAGGCGGACCTTGCATTTCAGTGCTGGTCTGCTTGCGGATGTATCCAGGAAAAGATGGCTGAACATTAGGCCTAGACCCTGGAAATGATGAATCTGACAAAGGAGGAACATTAGGCTTTAAAGGTGAAGGAGTAGCACTTTGTGGGGGAGAACCCATCGGGACAATTGGTGTCTGTGGTTGAAGGGCCGCTGGAAAAGATGGTGCTTGATTTACAGAAGGCGGCATCGACGGTCGTCCTATGGATTGAACAGGTGCAGGAGCTTGAGCTGTTGAGGTAAACTGTGGAGTAGGAAAACGCTGGAAAGGACCACCAGCAGGTGGAACGCTGTACGTTGGAGGCGGAGGCACAGATGGATCATTAAACCTGCCAGGAGGGATAGGTCTAAAATTGGATGCCCCTGGTGTGACTGTAGGTCCGGCTGATGACAATGGCACTGAAGGTTGGGGAATAGCAGAAGGAGTAGGCCGGGGAAAAGGAGGCTCAGATCCAACCACAGGACCAGTTGATGAAAACGGTGTCATGGTCTGAGGAGGAGCAAAAGGCGTTGTGGCAGGCCTAGCTGGAAAACTTGAACGTCCCGGATTTTCAGTCCCCATGGATTACAGAACAATTACTTGCCTTGCTTATTGCGCTTAGCTATTACTTATAGCCTTCGTTCCATCGCGAAAACTGCCAGAAGATATATGCAATTCTTTAGAAAGAGAAGAGGAGGAAATCCTTAAAGTTACCGCACAATTTAAAGTAAGATTTGCGCGATGGGAACGACTCAAATGATATCAGAACCATAGAGGGGCAAGCGGTGGTTCGCTTTAACATGGCCAACTAGTGTTGGATACTCTGCATGACTTCTGGTCAATGCATCAGATATCATCTTAAACATTAAAATTAAAATAACGAGAATTGTGTGCAATCAAATGAACATAGATCACGGGACGAGAGTCGGGAGAGAGGCGGAATTTGTACCTGCACAAGTGCCAGGTTTCTCAGAAACTAGAATCAGAACAGAAACATAGCATGTGAATTGGATTTGAGAAAATATCATTGAGAGCTTGGATGCAAGGGTAAGATCGAGAAAAAGGGGAGGGGAGTTCAATCGAGATTATGAAAGTAGTCAGGTGGAGAAAGGGATACTGACCGAGTTCTGATGGGTAGAGAACAGTTAGGATCGGAAACGCAACACGGGACGGATACGCCAAGGCTGAATCCTTGAGTGCAAGTGCGAGAGCGACTGGATGTTTTGATCGACCAATTGTGACCTCTCTCTCTTATGCCGCAGCCCGAGTTCGGCTACCCCGTCCCGACTCAAGCTCTATTTTTTCCTTTAAAAAGATAATTTATCAAGGTTCTTTTCGGAGTATAATAAATTTGACCATCTCATCTCCTTCTAACTTCCAAAACGTTTGTTTTTCAGGTTTTTTTATAGACTACGAGAGATGAGCCGTGCAATAATACAATGGAAAAACATGTTGGCCCCTAATTTTATTGTATTTTACTTTTAATCTCTGTAGTTATTTTATTATTCTTGATCCATATATAAAGTTATAAGTTTCTACCATTTAAAATGTTAATCTCATCTATCCCTAACGATGTTAAACTAGTTGAGGTATAATTAACACCGTTAAATATGATGCTAACCTGTTTAAATGAATTATGAGCGGACATTATGACTGGGCAAGATTTTTTTTCCTCAAGCGCAGCACCAATTAAATAAAATAAAAAGGGGACGGGAGAACTTGCATCTTGTGATTCACAACGAAAGCTTCAAAATACGCAAGAGCACGGGGCTTCCTTCGACTTCAGTTAAGGAAGGGGATGTAGCAAAAGAATATCTCACAAACACAAGAGGAGCATGATAATGTTCAATTTCCATTCTATCATTATTGAACTTTACTAGATGTAATGTCACAATCACTAATTTGTTAGCAGAGAATAGGACACAAAAAATTCTCCTGAACACAAATATTCTATTAATATTGATTCAGTATCTTAATAAAAGAGTTTATATATCAGTTATTACAACCATTGGCATGAAGATGCCAAGAAGACGGAAGGAAATTAACATAAAGGAAGAGAAGTTGAAGGGGGAGAAAGTGATGACCAAAATTCTTCTCTACCCATTCCAGTTGTTGAGACTCATCCTAAATAACATCACACCACCAAGCCCCTTACCAGATAGCCCAATATTTATATTTGGCCCAATAGATTGCAATTCCCAACACAATCCAAATTTCACATAAAGCCGATTCATTGCATGAAACCCCTCCTTTTACAATCCCAATTCAAGACAATGTTCACATATTATTGAAAAATCTAGAGAGCGAAAAAACAATAGAACATGGAAGAATTTTTTCACTAATGTACCGTAAATACACCGTGAACAACAGATTCTCAAACTAAACTATAGAGGTTGGAGGAAAATCAAAGAAAACCCCATTTGTACGAAGCCAGACCATTTTGAAGAATTCTTCAATTCTTGTCAATAAGCAGGCAAAGGAGAACAGCAAACAGTTTAAAATATTAAGAACTGCTTGATGGTGATGATGAAGATTTGATTCCATGACTACTTTTGCTTCATCCGCAACCTCTCCCTCTCTTACTTCTTGTCTTTGATCCACCCCATATGAAGCTCCCAACTATCCTCTATTAGCCAATCTCATTTACCTCATTGCCACCGTCACATTTGAGGTCAAAGGAAGTCCCCTTCTCTTATATCTTCTAGGGCTATCGTTGTGAATTGTTAAGTCATATTGTCCACTTATCACTCATTTAAATAAGTCAGTATCATATTTAACAGTGTTAATTACACCTTAGCCAATTTAATAACATTAGGTGTGAGAGAGACTAACACTTTAGATGGTAGAAATTATAAACACTAAAAACAACACACAAAAAATTACATAAACTAAAAGCAAAATATAATGAAACTACAGAGACCAACTATTATGTTTTCCCTGTATAATTTAGGAATAACATGATCCATTGTAATCGTACATTTTATACATCTTATATTTTTTGGCTGTTTGATAAATCTTATATTAATATCTAAATATATGATTTTAATAACTTCACAACTAAGCTTGAGGGTCTATTTGGATTGGAAGAATTTTTATAAGATGGGAATAGATAAAGAAAATAGAATATCCTTTTATTTAAATGACATTTTCTGGACTCAAATATATATTTGACTAGTATGAAAAAATTGATGAATTGTTGTTATGAGTTATGACTTATAAATATAATCAGGGTATGTAGTTGTGTCATGGAATAACTTTTTTAAAATCAAAATATAAAAATATCACATGATTGGAAAGTATATTTATTTTTTGAGATTAGCTCAGATGGTAAAGATGTAATGGGATAAAAATAAAGACCAAGGATTCATATCCCTCGCATGATGTATGTATAAAAAAAACCTATTTCTGTTTTTTATTCATATCATGTATGGTTGTTATACTTTTTATGTTATATGTGGCCCCATCTTGTAATTTAATTTATTTTTATTTAAAGTTTGTGTATCTTAGCTGTGTGATTTCAAAGAGGGACGTGCAAATAATAATAAAAATAGCAATGGTAGTAGTAACAGTAGTAACACTGGCATTAAAACAGCAAAGGAAGAACTTGAACCAAATCTCAATTGATTGACTAAAGTTGCCAATATCGCTGTAATCGCTAATTTCATCAGATTCTAACATTTCATCATTCTCTCCATCCTCACTTGAGTTGCCAATCGTCGTCATTTCTTTGAGCATACAGCCTGATTCTCTCACACGCAGGGACACCCTCACTCTCACATGCCAATTGTGAGAGAGGCACTGCAATGAACTTCTTGCCTTCTTGGATCCTCAAAATATAGTGAAGTGATACTCCACAGGTTGAAAGGAAAATAGCTCTGCGTCCAGAGGGCAAATTTTTTACGAACAGGGTGTAAATTTTTGTGACATATCATGAAAGAAAAGAAATACACAAATATCATACAGGTGAACTGAAAAGCTAAAAACAAACAACCAAATAAGCATGAAACCTGTAAAATTCATCTTTAAAAAGCTTTATTCATTACTCCTTGTGCAAAGTTTATTGATTTTTCCCCTTTTTCACTGCTACAATTTTTTTCTGCTATCTAGTTCTCCCTCCATCTCTATATATACAATATTTTTGATTGAATTACGTAAATCAACAAAAGTTGATTATTTACTTATAAGTATAGTAACATTTCAATTTTGCCCTTAATTATTATAAATAAAAAATGAATCTCTTTTTTAAAGTAAATTAATGAAAGTTTTACATTTTTCTTTTTCCAATTTAATACAAGTATAATAGTCTATTTATTAAAAAATATGCTAACAACCTCTTATATTTAGAAATAAAAAAATTTTAAAAGACCTTTTATCTATAGGACAAAGGTAGTAAGTAGTAACGGACAGAGATCAAGTCTATTCATTCATTTAGGTCAAGTTTAATTACTAGAAATGAATGGAATAAATAGAGTGAAAAAATCAACATAAAACTGAACTAAATCATTATTCTTTCTCATAATAAGCATATTAAAACTTATTAATATAATATATTATAAATGTGAGAATCATTACACCCTTAAAAATTTTATAAATTATAATTCTCTAGCTCAAAAAATAAATTACTCAAATCCTTTATGAATGTAGTTTAATATTCACTTTGATCATTTTATTTTTATCTTTATTTTTCAATTCATTCAATTTCATTTTTTCCTAGTGATCAAACATGACCTAAGTATTTTTCTTTTGGCAATAGAATCATTAATTACTAATCCCAAAAAAGAATTATTGGTTATTAACTAAGCAGAAGAGCAAATGATCCATATCTAGCTAGCCCAACAAAGAGAATTGAGAGGTGACAGAGATGTCGTAAAATGATCAATCGATCTAAATTAGGCTTAAGTATTAAATTTTAAAAATTTACAATTCAAATTCTCAACTTTACAACTTTATTGTAATGAATTTGCAACTTATATTTTAAATTTTAACAAGAAAAATAATTTTTTTATTTTTCAACTATATTAAAATTTTAAAAATAAGTTACAAATTCATTACAATACAATTACAAATTTAAGAGATGTACGTGTAAATTTTTAAAGTTTAGCACTTGAAACCTAACTTAAATTAATAGTTTCTTTTAAACTTTTTTATTATTTTGCTCAAAGAATGTTGGGAGGATTTAAACTAAGGTTAAAAAATTGGAAAAAATTACAAATAAATCTTGTATAGTAAATTTATTTATAAATAAATCTTGTAAAATTTAAAAACTGCAACCAAATTTCATAGACTTAGTTGTAATTTGTAGTTGAGAAATAAGGACAATACTGCCCTTATTAATTTTGCTTTCATTTACAATTATAAATTTATAATTTATGAGTAAAATTTTATACTTCACAAATCAAATTGCTCATTTTGCACTTTATATAATGTGGAGTTTCTATACAATTAATTATGTCTAATTAAGGCTATAATTAATCTAATTGAGATGTAAAATTTATATTCACCACATAATTATAGCTTAAAAAATATAATTAACTTTGCAAAAAATCTATATTACATCAAGTGTTAAATAAGAATTTTGACTTAAAAATTACAAAATTTTACTTGTAAATTATGAATTTGTGGTTATAAATAAAAGTTAAATTAATAAGGGTAATATTGTCCTCATACTACAATTATAAATTATACTCAAGTTTTAAAGAACTCAATTATAATTTTAAAATTTTATGAGAGTTATTTATAAATAAGTATACTGGGTCCTAGTTGTAATTTTAAAAAAAAAGAAACAAAAGAAAACAGCCTAAAGAAGATAAAATTGTGAATCAATAAACAAATTGGTCCCGGCGGGGCTCGAACCCGCGACCTTCGGCTCATAAGACCAACGCTCTAACCAACTGAGCTACGGGACCTGCACATTTTTATTGAGGACATATTGATAGATTAAATAATTTTATTTTTATTTCACTGATGTCATTCTTTTTTAAAGATCTAAATTTGTATTTTATTTCTGGCTTCGGCCATTTATTTACCATGCATATAAAAATATTGTAAATAAAAAACAAAACACATCAAAATTCAGGATTTCACATGGTAATATATGTGGCATTAGCATCTTATCAATTAAAACTGAATTTCTTACCTAACACCGACCTCGCAATAAACTTTTATTATTAATACTTTTAATTTATTTTTAAATTCAAAGTCCATATGTTTTTGATATGTCTGGTAATGGGCACCTTATGATTTTGCTACGAAAAGTCATTCTCTGATAAAGTTATAAATGATAGTGTAAGTATTATCA